ATTCTATGAAAGATGGGTAATTGGGACGATGATCAAATATATGGAAAGGATCCCAATTATCAGAAATAGATAATATGAATTTGAGGATATTAATTATAATTAAGATCAAGTATCTTAGATCAAACTCCATAAATTCTTTTAAGCTTTTGAGTTTCTTCTTAATTTTTTGGGTCATAATCTACTAGTATATATAGTCGTAAAATACCAAGTGGATGTAAATATTTGACTTTGTTTGGGTTAATGAATGTTGAAATGATTACACGACACGACACATTTCTCTTTCTTTCTTTATATTCTTTCTCAACATGACTTTCTTTTGTACAGTAACGCCATAATTTGGTCCAACTTTTAATACTTTTCTAATGTTGATACTTAAATAATATTGTACATTGCATTTTTGTAGTTGTAATCAAAATTGGGTTTGGATCCCGTCCAGTGGGGATCTTCTCCAGTGCCTACAGTAGGCCTTTAAATTTATTACACGTGTCTACTTATATATTCAATGGACTAGATTAATTTTACTAACCAAAGCCTTAAACTACTGTCAACAATATGTCTCTCTCCTTCTCTCTCCCGTTGTCATACCAATATTTTTCTTTTTAGATAAGAATTTTTATTTTTTTACTATCTATGTTCACTTTTAATTGTCATAAGTTTTTTAGAGTCAAATTATAAAAAAAATTACAATGTATTTTTTCATCATATTGATATGCAAAAAATTACAATTTATAGTACTTTTCGTATAGTTGTTGAATTATTTAAAATATCGAATTAATGTAATCTAATTTAACTTTGAAAATTAGTCAAATTGACTTTTAAAAAACAAAATATGACAAATAAAAATGGAATGAGATAGTATTATAAGTCTATTATGAAATGGATATATGTATCTGGGTTATGAAATTTTAGGGATTCAAATTAAATTTCAAAAGAGCAGCTTATACGATGTTGAATTAGCCAATTCATACAATAGTGTTGCTGCTGAGCGGAGCAAGGCCATTTTCAACCACTACCCACTCTTTCTGATTTCTTTTGCTCAACCACTACAATTTGGTATATTTAATTATATTTTATGTAGAACATACCAAATAAAATAGAATTAAACATACCAAGTTGTAGTTTAATAAATTAAACATAAAATAGAATTAAACACAACACCATTACGTTGCAAAATTACAAGAGAAAAAAGAAGAGGATAACCATCCGCCATTCTATTATGTTGGCACAACAAAATAGTAGTCCAACTGTGGTTTACGGCATTGGTTAGTAAATTAATCTAGTCCATTGAATATATAAGTAGACACGTGTAATAAATTTAAAGGCCTACTGAAGGCACTCGACGGGATTCAAACCCAAAATTTGCCTACTTTTTATGCATTGTGGGCCATTCTTTTTCTCCACTCTCCCTCTATTAATTAATGCATATAATATAGGTCTCACTCCTTATTTTGAATAGCAACTTTATTACCTTCTCTTTATTTCTACCTCATAACTTTTTTCATTTTATTTTTTATGGCAAAATCATTTTTTAAAATGCTAATTACTTTATTTGTTTACCAAACTAGTATACATATTCACGCGTTGCGCGGATATTTTAAAATGAATAAGTTTTTTAATTTAAAAGTAACTAATACAAATTAACCGATGAAACATATTATGTGTAATTATATTTCTTGAAATTCAAATATTTTAAAATTTCACATAAAAATAAAAATTTATATCATATATTTAAAATCGCAATTTTAAACTTAAACTAATATTGTGAATAGTTTTAAATTTGCTAAATAACTTATAATTGGATATTATTCAGGATAGAATTTAACGCTTCCTAAATATAGATAAATATTATTTATCCTAAATTCAAAAACTTAAGTTTTATTTCTCATAAAATTACTTTTCAATTATTTTGAAAATTTTGATTTTCCTTTTAACAATTTGTTTCGAAATGGAAAGGTAGTAGGAGGTTTTAAACTGATTTTGTTTTTAAATTGTGATGGTCATTAATAATTTATTTAGATTAAGAATAACATTAAAAAATAAAAATTATTTAGTTGAATAATCCCTTTTTTTTGTACGTACAATTTAAATACTATTTTATTTTATTTTAAATGAAAACTTTTACAATTTTTTTTAGAAATTGAAGGTAGGGTTATATTATTTATGTATTAGTTGGATTTTAAATTATTTTTTTCACATAAAGTTAAAATCGAACTAATACATAAATAATATAAATTACTATTGCTATTAGGACTATTTCCAAATATATATATATATTACTCTTTATTAGAAGTGGCACTTGAGGCTGTACCAACACTGCTATATGCAGTTGTACTAAAAGTTGCATAAATTGTACAATAAAGTTCGGCCTATTTTTAGTTTAATGCCACGTGTATGTATTTTAGTTCAATGCCCTCCAATTTTCCACGTTTTGACAGACACGTAATAGCATCTTACCTTTGTGGGAGACAGCTGGTTTTCACTTACAGTCCCCAAATTTCTCGAGGCTTCTCTTCCTTATCCTTCTCTCTCTTTTCTTCCGTCAAATTAGTCTCCAAGAAGCTTCGTCGAAGAGTTGTTCGCATTTTCCTTTTTTTCGTCTCTTTAGTTTTCTGAAAATTTTGAACAAATCGCACTTGTAGTCGCAAGAAATTTTTCGAAAACTGAGTACCAAATTTCAAGTTTCTGTCAGAATTGTGCCGACCTCTACAACAAGAATTGTTTCTTTTTCCTCTTGCGTGTTGTGATATTCTTTTGCCTTTTCAAGTTCTTTTCATATTTTCCATTCTCTTTGCAGGTTTGCACTTGCAGCTATGCAAATTTTGCAGATTGTTGACAAAGTTTGGTACTTGCGTGGTTCCTAACAACATTCAAAGGTACTAGGTGAAATTTGTTCCTTTTTTCTTTGTTTTTTAATCTTTCAAGACTAACTTAGAAGTGTGCCACTTGATACCTTTTTCATATTTGGTACTTGATATCATGAAATAGTATAAATCTTTTTATTTTTGGATAGGGCTCTGTTTTTCACCTAATAATATCTTAAAGTGCTACACTGCAGGATTAATTTGAACTTGTAGTTGTTAAAAGATATGTAACTATATGTGTGAACTTTAGATTTGAACCTGAATCTTGATCATGCTCCAAAGGTGAGATTTTTTCAAAATCTTTTAAGGCTTCGACTTTGACGGAAGATATGAGATCTATCTTTTGGAGTAAAATTTGTCAAATTTGATTCACGAAATACTTCCATCTTTTAATTGTGGCCTTATTAGACCCTTCCAGTGATTAAGTGATTGATGATTGTTTATCTTTGTGTCTGTTATTGATTTATTAAGTGTACATTATTTTGACTGAATTGATCTTTCATTATATGAATCTGTTTTAATTCATGAGATTTAATTCATGACATAGTATTAGAGAGTAATGAATCATAAGGATAGCTTTCTTGCATCCTCCATATGCCAAACAATTGTTGCCAAGGATTCGTATACAAAGAGAACATTCATGAGTGAATTGCACATTCTTTCTCCAATTATGAATCAATAAAGGTCATTAAGCACGTATGTCGAGGGTTAACCTATTGACCAGAAACTATTTGATAGCATAAGTTTCTTTGTACTCATACGAGACAATATTAACGAAGACAATAAGCTAGAGTAGGATTCCATTCTTGAATTTATCACATTTTAACATATGTATGTTCTCTAATATGTTCCAAGATCTTATAGTTACCAGAAGCTGCATAAATGCAAAATTTACCATTTGCAACCTTCTACTCTTTTGTTTCGAGATTTAGCTTCTCCATAACTTCTGCACCTTTTACTCTTTAGTAAATATTTTAAGTCTTCCCTTATCCGTCATCTATTTTTTTTCTTTTTTCCGATGCCTAAGGATGATAGAACCAAACCCAGCAAGTTGACTTCCTTCTTGGGTTATAAGGTTGGGATGAATCACATTGCAAGAGGATTTGAAAAATCTGTATCAAGTAAAATCACTCTTTCATCTATAGCATTTCAGTTCAGTATTCACATTTTCAACATACATATAATCATTTAGACTCTGACTTCAGCAAATTGTACGAAATATTATCTAACTTATACAAAAGAAGGCTAAAGGAGGATGGGAGTAAAAGGACGAACACTGCATCTTCTAATTGTACTAAAGGTAGTACTAATTGTACAGTAAATTTGGCCCTTTTCCAGTGATGAATAAACACGTGTCTCATTTTGCTTCACTTTCTGTACAAGTTTTGCACTATCATCTCACAATTCTCTATAGATTTCTCTCTCCTCCTCTGCTAAGCTTGGTCTATTTTCTCAACTCTTCTTTGTAGATCTCAACTCTTCAATGGCGAATCCATGTGTTGCTGAGTGTCTTCTCTTTGTGTAGACACTTTAAATCTCTCTGT